GGAAAGAGAAAAACAACGCAAACAACGCAAAGTAGTGCGTGCCTTGCCTCGCGGTGGGAGAGCAAGGGAAGAGAAAAAGAGAGTAGAGCGGAGACACACAGGCCCAGCCTTGCAAAGAGAAAGAGCAAAGAAACAACGCAAAGTAGTGCGTGCCTTGCCTCGCGGTGGGAGAGCAAGGGAAGAGAAAAAGAGAGTAGAGCGGAGACACACAGGGCGTGGTCCCCCAGCCTTGCGCTCTTACTTATAATTATATTTATTCGCGCAACATATATGTACGTGGCTGTAGCCATTGATATACGATCGCGGCGAGGTCTCGGCTTACCGCAGCGAGAGCTGCACCGTAGCGCACTGGAAAAGAGGCACGGAGGAGGAGAGAGAATCGGGCCTCGCGATTTCGGCATTGAACGAGGACGCGGCACAGGTGTAATCGTCAGTGACGGCGAACACACACATACAAAATGACGAGAAGTTTAATTCTTAAGTAATACGCTTCTCTTTCGTCTGATATGGTCTTTTATAACTCTACGATCTTTCATAACTTTATAAGTTTTTTTTGTTATAAAAATATTTTGGGGAAAAAAATTTTGGCTTTTTTGTAGTACTGTAAAAAAAAAAAAAAATTGCGACAACACAATTTAAGAATGTATGCTTAGCTTCATCGTATCTGATAAAACTTAGTATTCTATTATTTCTTAATACATAATCTCTAGCTGCTTAAATTTGTTTAGTTAGCCGAAAAAACATTTTATGTTAATTTTATTTCGCTAAAAATATAAAAAAATCTATCCGAGTCTTCAATTCTCGAGTTTAATACGCGCGTTTCTTTGGATGTTGAACCGTTCTCTCGAAATGTGATATCGTGAAAAAAAAAAGAAAAAAAAGAAAAGGACGAAGTTCGTAGTCGGTCGTAAAAATCGCAGAACGCTCTCTCGGACATCACCTCAGATAAGGGAAGCCTTGACCTTTCTGAGATTTTCGATTTACGGCGCGCGACCAATGCACGACGAATTATATATGGAGCGAGTATTTGTCTTGAAGGCCACGATGGCAATTTAAATAAATCCCAGCTGTGTATTTTGAGGAACTGCGATTTTTTCTTCACGATGAGAGCGAGAGAGAGAGAGAGAGAGAGAGAGAGACGCTCTCCCGTGAAAATTGCTTCAGTTAATCGAATTCAACGATGTCTTAATAATAACGATTTCTCGTACGCGCTGAGAGGCATAAATGTAATACGGCAATATCATAGTAATTTGAACATCATCTTAAATGCTTCGAAGATGAGTACTTTAATAGACCGCGCATGATTAGCGCATTATTAGCGCACGCACGCTGCTCTATTACGCAAACCAGTGAATAACAATTCATATTTTCTGTAAGCAGGCGGTAAATCCGGTTAAAAGTATCGCTTCTTATACTTCGCCCGCTACTTTCGTTTCTGAAAATGTTGTAACGCTGGCTATTAGTGATAATAAAGCGCTGCAAGCGTCTTTCGATGCACTTGCAGGACGCTTAAACAGCTCTCGTGTAATCCGGAATGATCGCGAGATTGGGTCTGGAGAAATAATTCAAACTGGAAGACGATGATTATCGAAGCGATTAATATTTAGTTGCAACACCAACCCACTATATAATTTATCACTTCGCGAAAGTGGATACCGTTTATCGGAGGCTCAAACGACAGAAATCTGCAACTTTGTGCATGACCGCAAAGGGTCGCCGTCGCGCAATTGCCGGTACTTTCGCGGACTCGTTTTTCTCCTTCACGGCTACGAGGCTCTTAATAGGATGTACAAAGACGAACCTAGCAAGCAGCCTACGTACTTCAAAGAAGGAAAGGAACGAGAAGCAGTTGGGGTAACGGAGATCGTGAAATGAGAAAAAGAAATCCAAGAAGGTTTGCGAGCGTTGACCATGGGATACTGCCACCGTTCCAGGTGGTACTCATATACAAATTATGGTAATGACCGATCGATTCCCCCTAGCTCGTCATTCTGTTCTCCGTTCCTCTTTCTTTCTCTCGCTCTCCCCCTTTCCCTCTCTCTATCTACGCGTATCGACGTGGAACCCTCGTAAGGCCGTTGCTGCCCTTGTGCCTTCGCGCGCAATTAGCTCCGTCTTCCTTACATATGCCGGACGAGACTTACCTTTGATATTTTGATCCGATGCGTAACGCGATACACGGATGCGATGCATATACGCACAGGAATTCGTCGATATTATCGGAGCATCGATCCTTTTCTTTTCGAGTATTTCTTCTCGAATATTTGATCTGCAAACATAGTGAGTCATCGATATCTGAAATCAAATAGAAAATATCGAGCCTCAGAAGCTTTAAATAAAGAATTTCTTTCTAAGAATTTCTGCAAGTGACAGTATATATTTTCGATTTGGATTTGCAATTAATAATCCATAAATTATAAATGAGACGTTACAGTTATTTCTATTGAAGTATTATGTAGGCGAAAATAGATAATTAAAAATTAATCTTACTTGAAACAGAATTTTGTTTACGCATATTTTTCTAGTCATCAATTTAGTCATTTGTCTTAATCCATCATTACAGGAAGTTTCTGTCGTGATTACTACAAAATTATTTTCTCCACCTGTGTGTGTGTGTGCACGCGCGCGCGCGTATAAAATACCTGTCGGATCCTTGTCATTCTCTCATCGTTACTAACTTTCGCAGACACTACCCATCCGCGGTTTACCTTTGATATTATAATCTGTCTCTCAACTGGAATACGTGACACGGAACTTAAATCGTTACACGCGCTCGTACGGCGTTTGGACCGAGATAACTCGCGGTTGTTCCGCATTCGCTTTAATTAATATGTACTACGATCGGTGCACTGAACGAAAGACAGAGATGTTTTAAACGCGTTCAGAAACTGTGCGGGGAAAAAAGTCAACATGAAAATATAGTGAAAATATAAAGAAAATTTTGACATGAGTTTTTCTACACAATTTGTAATTTATATAATCTCTTTAAATATTTTTCTATATATAATTAATTTTATAAAAGCAATAGATTTTTTCTCACAGCATGCGTAAACAACACAGCATACATTGCAAAAACAATTGTGTCTTCCTTCTTGTATAAATGATGTGAAACAAGATACTTATACATTTTATTTCGCGAAAGAAAATATGTTACTTGAATACGAAATAAAATCTTATCTCAGTTGTGGATTTTACACGGAGGATGTTCGCTCAGAGAGATGAGTGCTATGTTCAACGCATCTAACAAGCTCGCGGGCGAGCAGCGTCGCAAGCGAAGGAAAGCGATAACATAGTAAGCGATAAGTCGACAGTTTAAGACATGCATCGGCGAATTGCATTTGCGTCGAGTGGCGTTTATTTATGGCGGGCCGCCGTGTTCGCGGTACGCACGTGCGTTTTCTCGCACAAAATGTCACGGAGTCTCGCGTCGCTGCCGCATTACGAACACCGCGAAATAATCCGCGGTTTCACGCGAGAGATAACACGCGTGTGCGTGCCCCGCGCACACAAACACACGCGTGCGCGTTTCCCAAAGGCCTTTCAAACGTTGGCGGTATATCAGCATTTTTTATCGTTACAGCGCGCAGGCCTTTCGAACGTCCGGACGGTATATCAGCGTTTTTATCGTGTAACCATTAGCGCGCACGCACGACCTTTCGCGATCGGTCGATTCGTAACTCCGATTACCGGGCAAGCGATAAAACCTTATGAACGTCGGCTTGATTATGCCTTTTCCACGATCTATAATCGCGATCGATATCCCATACCTGCGTGCACATTGGCAAACGATAAGCGATGTGCTATAAGCGGTGAATCGTGGATAAGCTCACTTATTAACCCTTCTATTATTAGGGTGGAAATGGGATAATGAAGTTAAAAGAATAATTTCTCTATCATATATCAATCAATCTGTTATACATCTTTATTATATGATCTGACAAGGATTATTTTTCAAGTGTTGTTTTTTATAAAGTGATATGAATCAAGTTGCATAAATCAAAATTTAATCGATCGTCTAATTTTAAAATTAATATAATGCAATATTACAAGCTAAATATCATGTAAAACAATATATTAATATATAATTTATAATAATTAAATTCTATGTTACTGAAAAGAAAACTAAAATAATTTCAATATCTTATTATACGATTTCGTCAATCGATTTTATTCTGCAGTTCTTTCTATCAGAAAATGAAAGGCCATTACAAATCGTAAAGCTCGACATTAACAGATACGTCCGGATACGTGCAACACATATAGAACATCGATTTGCGTTGAAAATAACCGGACGTCAATGTTCGCCGTAACACTCGGTGTGACAGAGCATCGCGTTCAAGAGAGTAACGTTGGCTTAGTTCATGAATCAGTATAACGCGTCCGTTTAGTCGTGCATTAGTATACAAAATGTATTCATAAGTCTTAACATGCGAACTTTCGATTGTTCAATCATTGTCTATTGAATGGTGAGTCTTGTGAAATAGTACATTTGTGCCTACTTTTTAACATACATATGTTAAGGAACATTTGAAACGTTAATATCGACGAATTGATCGGGATCATCTTTCCAACATGATTCCGATTTTATGACTTTCAATTAAGCGCATAACAATCTATGAGAAAAAAATATATAATAAAAATTACAGATGAAAAAATAAATCTATGATTAGAAAAAAAAAATTCATAATTAGAAAAAAAAGGCTTAACAAATTTTACCGCGATTATTTTTGATTCAAAATTCTTATCAATAAATTTGCGCGAAAATTAAATATCTTTGATAACATCTATTCCTACCAAATTTATCGGCGAATACATTGAAAGGACACGTATACAATGATTCAGACGAAATACATATGTACAACATATATATATATTATATATTATGTCGTTGCAACTTTATATCAAAATTTTCGAGAGCACTCCATGTTGATCTCGTGTAGATCCGCGATCAATCACGCTTATGTCGCATCATGAATTGCGATGATTAACGAATACATAATAATTAACACGGATCTTTTAATAACGCCTCTATAAAAATAATTAATCCCTATAATAAATCACTAACCGGTTTAGTCTATAACGCCATTCGCATGTCTGTGCATCGTATTTTATCAAATGATATCATAAACTATACTTGACACATAACTCTTTGTGTGCACTCTATTTCAATATAGACTCTGCAGATTAATTACACATTTTGCGATGTTGACGAGATTAAGATTGTAAAGAGATCTTTGCTAAGAAAATGTACAAAAGATTATTCAGACTCAGAGATTCTCGATACAACGTCCTTGTCATAAAAATGACTGTATAATCATCTTCCTTCTATTTGATAATCATATTTCTTCTTTCTATTTGAGAAAAATTAATTATATAATCCATAAGTTTTGTTGATTTTATCGCATTAATAGTTTTTGGATTCTTTTAGTAGCGCATTGATATATTAACATTATTCCTTCATTTGCCTCGCGTGTGGATATTATTAAATTTCCGCATATAAAACTAGCTAATCAAATTACGCTTGCGTAACCGTATAACTGCTCGAAGAGCCTGAGAGTCTTTGGAGAATCTCTCGATAAATCGATAGCTTATATGCGTTCACAAACGTGGTACGATGTTATAACGACAGCAGAGGAGGAGAGAGAGAAACGATGAACTTTTGCTCATAGCAAAGTACCCTCCTTGCAACAGAATCGTAGATCACAGGATCTACCGCGACAGAATTTATCGGCAATCAGTATGATTATCGTTAGGAAAAAAAAAGAAAAAAAAGAAATACTTGCTAATGCGCGCTCGGTTAATCGGGAAAGGATTTCTTGCAAGAACGGCCGTAATTAATAAAAGACTTCGGCCGCATGCACGCATTGTTCCCGCCGTTGTTCGATTATGTAAATAGTATAAAAGCATTAATAAAGTAACGGCAATATGTGTGCACATCGACGCCCTCTTACCTCCTCGTAATAATGCGCCATTTGCATTAATAATAATAACTTCTAGCGATTTTATCGGCGAGATTCCAAGCGGTTAAAATTGTTCGCTACATTGTGGCGTCTAGGATAATGCACCGCCGCAGAGATTGGCCTTTGCAAAAAGATTCTGTTATGATATAATAGAAATCTCTCATTTTCGTAACGTATTTCTCTCCTTTTCTCTCATCAAAGAATATACGATTAAGGATATATCCTGTCGCGCGGAAGACCCTATCTACAATTCTGTTGCGAGAAGAATATTCTACAGCAGATAAAAGTGTTATTTCTACTTCCCTCTAGTATAATGTATTGTTCGCGAAAAATTTGGCATGTAATACCATGTTTGAGAAAGAAAAGAAAAGAATATTCAATTCTTTTTTAATTTTATAGTTTAGAAAGTAATTTTACGATGTCACGAGAGAAATGTCTAAGTAACTTGCTTTGCTAAGAGTTAAAAAAATAACAAAATATTGAAAATGGAATTTTGCCTTGAAAGAGATATTTTGAAAACAGAATATTTAATAATTTCGCGTCACATCCGGAAATTACAGAATTGCGGAAGTCTTGGCGATCATGAATAGATATCATCATCGTACAGGAAGAAAGATTTATCTTAATACGCGTAACACGATGCATCTCTGTATGTGTATGTGTGGCGCGATTATATTAAAAATTTTCATCGGCGTAACTCGGCGCGATGCGCGAATACAGTTTACCATAATTATATAGCGCTCGCGCAAGCTGCGCCGGCTCCGCGCGCGCGCAAAAAAAAAAACAGTAAGACTATCTATATTTTATCAACGTAATTAATATCGGCTGACGGGCATAAACTTCAGCGCAACTTCCAACGAATTAAATGTTACTTACGCATGTAACTTCGCGTAATCATTAACGGCGACTCGCGCTCCAAGAAACGTACGACTTTTCTCTCACACCGACCAATAATTATACTATCTGTATACTTCAGCGTACCGTTAATGTATGTGGTTGCACGTTCGATATGTTACGAAAATTAAACGCATAAACGGCGTATATCGCCGTGACGCGTATTACTCTGTCTAACTCCTGACGTTGCAGGTCGGAGTCGCTGTTATGTAAAATAGATTCGTACTTATATGAATTCTAATACTTTGGTAGGTAACAGTATACACGAGAGGCGCTCATACACATATAATTTCAATCTAGTTATTTGGCGCTTGCAATCCTGTGTGAGAAATACATGTGTAGCATGACTAACAAATAGCTATGCACGCCTTTCGCTACCTTTTCTGCAATTTGAATTAACATTAGCGACAATGAATTATTAGAGCGCAATGCTACCGGTGC